AGCCTCCTCCTGGACGTGGAGGACTATGAGAGACGCTACCTCCTGAGCCTGGAAGGGGAGAGGCCGGCCCTGATGGGCGAGAGGAAGCAGAAGATCTGTGACATGTATGACAACCTGAGGGGGAAGGCGCCCGGGCAGGACAGGTCAGTGGAGCTGGGGGTCTGTGACTTGGTTATGGGCACTTTCCCAAGGCTCTTTTTTCCCCCCCAAGGAACACTTCCCAAGGCTTGGAATCTTCTCTCCTCCCCAGGCCGAGCGATGACCACTTCATGCAGATCATGTGCATCCGGAAAGGGAAGCGCCTCGTAGCCCGCATCCTGCCCTTCCTGTCCCCCGAGCAAGCGGCCGACGTGCTCATGGCCACAGCCAGGAACCTGCCCTTCCTCATCAAGAAGGATGCTCAGGATGAGGTGAGATTCCAGAGGCTGGGAAGGGTCCCCTTGCTGGGATCTGCTGTGGGTTGGAGCTGGATCTCCACTCTCTTTACTGTTTGTTGGCAAACAGCATCCTGTGTCCTAAGGATGGTTCCTGCCTCTCCTGGGAGGTTCCCAGAGGATTGGGAAGGCTGCAGCAGCTCCTGGCAGGGTCCATCTCCACTGCTGGCACAGCACGGGAAGGAAGAGGGAGGGTTTGGTGCCCAGTGCCTTTGTCTGAGGCCAGCTCTTGTCTAAAGAGCCACGGCCCCGGCTCATCGGGTGACAACGGGAGACTCCCGAGGCATGGAGCAGAGGTCACAGTCCTCCAAGGGCTGAGCTCGCAGGTGTCCGCTGCAGCCTGGTTTATGTAGGGAGTAAAACCACAGGGTTCCATGGAATATAACCACAGGAGTCCATGGAATAAAACCACAGGGGTCCATGGAATAAATCCCCACAGGGGTCCATGGAATAAAACCACAGGAGTCCATGGAATATAACCACAGGAGTCCATGGAATAAAACCACAGGGGTCCATGGAATAAAACCACAGGGGTCCATGGGAATAAAACCACAGGGTTCCATGGAATAAAACCACAGGGTTCCATGGAATAAAACCACAGGGTTCCATGGAATAAAACCACAGGGTTCCATGGAATAAAACCACAGGGTTCCATGGAATAAAACCACAGGGTTCCATGGAATAGAACCACAGGGTTCCATGGAATAAAACCACAGGGTTACATGGAATAAATCCCCACAGGGTTCCATGGAATAAATCCCCACAGGGTTCCATGGAATAAAACCACAGGGGTCCATGGAATAAAACCACAGGGTTCCATGGAATATAACCACAGGGTTCCATGGAATAAAACCACAGGGTTCCATGGAATAAAACCACAGGGTTCCATGGAATAAAACCACAGGGTTCCATGGAATATAACCACAGGGGTCTGTGGAATATAACCACAGGGGTCCATGGAATAAATCCGAGCTTGCTTGGAGAAAAAAAAAAGGATTTAGAAGGAAAAAGGCAAAGATCTGATGGAATTTGAAGCCTGCAGGGGTGTGAAGGGGGTGGGAAGTGGAGGCGCTGCTGGTGCAGGAGCTTGTTGGCGTCCACAGCGTCCCATGGGAAGCACAATTCCCTGCTTTCACCCCTCTGCTCCTCTCTCTGCAGGTGCTGCCCTGCCTGTTGAGGCCCTTCTCCCACGTCCTCTACCACCTTCCCTTGGGGACAGTCACCAGCCTTGTGCAGCAGTTAACGAACCTACCTCAGAGCGCACCCGCGCCAGCGCCCACCAACCTGCACCTCACTGCTGTGCTCCAGAACAAGGTGCTGCCCACTCGGCTCCTGGCAGGCCAGGAAGGGGACATCTCATCCTTCCCACCCCAGTCCTTGGGGGTTTCCCGGTGCTGGGTGGAGCCGTGGTGCAGGAATGGCACCAGGAGTTCTGTGCTTGCCTTGTTCAGGAACTGAGGGTGTTTGGCTCTGGGGCAGCAACACAAGAGCAATGTGGAGCTGCTGGAGCGAGGGCTGGAGCAGCTCTGCTCTGGAGCCAGGCTGAGAGAGCTGGGCTGGGACAGCCTGGAGAAGAGAAGGTTCCTGAAGGGGAGACCTGAGAGCAGCTCCAGTGCCTGAAGGGGCTGCAGGGAACCTGGAGAGGGGCTTGGGACAAGGGATGGAGGGACAGGCCAAGGGGAATGGCTTGAACCTGCCTGAGGGGAGACTGAGCTGAGCTCTGAGGCAGAAGCTCTTCCCTGGGAGGGTGCTGAGGCGCTGGCACAGGGTGCCCAGAGAAGCTGTGGCTGCCCCATCCCTGGCAGTGCTCAAGGGCAGGTTGGACACAGGGGCTTGGAGCAAGCTGCTCCAGTGGAAGGGGTTGGGGTTGGAGCTGGATGAACTTTAAGGTCCCTTCCAGTACAAACCATTCCATGATTAACTGGCCAGGGACACCAGCACAAGCCAGCTCCACGTCTCTCCTCCTCCTCCTTAGGCTGTTGTCAGGGATCTTCCCACTTGTGCCACCATCCCCAGCAGGACTGGGAGGTGATTCTCAGGAGGAACAGCGGGAGGAAAGCTCCCTTGTATTCCCTGCCATAGGAATTCCCTCACAACCTCCCTCTGTGCTTGCAGTTCGGGCTGTCCCTGCTGTACTTGGTCCTGAGCCGTGGGGAGGAACTGCAGAGCTCGGACAGCAGCACGGAGCTCATGCAGGACAACCAGTGGTGAGTGTCTCCACCTCCTCCTGCAAACAGGCGCTGCCCCGTAAGCCCGAGGACCCAGGAGGAAAGGGTGATGAAGAAGGAAGGAACCCTGCAGCACCCTGGCCTCCTGATGGGCTCCCTCTCTCCCCGTTGCATTCCCGGCAGGACGGAGCTGATGCTCATGGCGACCCGGGAGCTCCTGCGGATCCCTCAGGCAGCTTTGGCCAAGCCGGTGTCCACCCCTTCCAACCTCCTCTCCCTCTTCTCTCGCTACGTGGACCAGCAGAAGCTCAACCTGCTGGAGACAAAACTGCAGTAAGTGCCCCCCCCACACCCCCCAAACTGGGAGAAGGGAGCCAGGGGGAAGTCTTTCCCATCCCTTTTCCAGCTCCTTTGACCCTTTTCCATCCTTGTTTTCCCAACATCCCAGCTTAGTGCACGGGATCCGGTAGGACATCACCACCGCTGCGGCTCCTCGGCACCGGAGTGTTCCAGAAGATGGATGGAGGGCAGGGGGTGTCCCCCCCCCCCCCACTGCCCCCAACACACCCCAACCATCATCATCCCACTGCGTTGGGGTGGGAGAACACCTTTCCCAGCCCAAAACCTTGGGAAAACGCCTCTCCCACCCCAAACTCAGGAGCGAGAACACCTCCTCCAGCCCAAAACCTTGGGAGAACCCCTTTTCCATCCCAAAATCATGGGAGAACACCCCAAAAAGCGAGGAAGAATCCCTCTTCTGCTCTGAAATTACAGGAGACACCATCTCTTCCAGCCCAAAACCTTGGGAGAAAGCTTTCCTATCCCAAAATGAGGGGAGAACACACCTCTCCCACCCAAAAATCATGGGAAAAGCCCTTTCCCACCCCAAAATTGTGGAGAAATCTCTCACCCCAAAATTATGGGGAAAAACACCTTTCCCACCCCAAAATCGTGGAGAAATCCCTCTTTCACCCCAAAATTATGGGGGAAAAACCACTTCTCCCACCCAAAAATCATGGGAGAACACAACTCTCCCACCCCAAAATCATGGGAGAACACAACTCTCCCACCCAAAAATCGTGGGAAAAGCCCTTTCCCATCCCAAAATCATGGAGGAATCCCTCATTCCCCCAAAATCATGGGAGAACACACCTCTCCTGCCCCCAAAATCACGGGAAAAGCCCTTTCCCACCCCAAAATCATAGAACAATCCCTCTTTCCCCCCAAACTCATGGGATAAAGAGGTGCTGGGGGGTGTTTAGCTCCTCCCTCCCATGCACAAGGATGGGAAAAGCCCCCCCCATTCCCATTCAGGGGGTCCCCCATTGAGCACTGAGCTCCGCTCCCTGCACACACGTGTGAACACGCATGGACACACATGAACACGTGTGAACACGCGTGTGTGCATCATCATCCCCCCCTCTTCGCACACTTGCCTTGTCTCTTGCCCTGTGTCGGCTCCATCCCTTCCCCTTGGGATCGCTCCTCCCGATCCGCATGGATCCCGCTGGATTCCTCCTCGGGAAGACGGCAGCAGGGAATGGGGTTGGGGGGGGGGGGGATGGTGTGTGTGTTATTTTATCCCTTTTTTTTGGCTTTTAAAAGAGAAATCACCGTGAGATTTGCACATGGAGGTATTTTACCACCCCCCCCTTTGGCATTAACCACCCCTTCCCCTCTCCCCATCATCGAGCAAGTGGAAAGTTCATTTTTGATGATGAATTTGTCTTTTTTTGGTGGTTTTTGGGGGGGTTTCCACCCATCCCCCTTCCCCCCCGCAAGTTTTCGGTTCTGGTAAATGAGAATAAAGTTTCTAAATTTACATTTTTATAGGGTTCTTGTAAATAAAGATGAATTGTATACTGCTGCCGGCCTGGCCTCTGCTTCCCTCCGCGGGTAACGACCCGGACACCCCCCCGCCCTCTCCCATCGCCCCGGGGCCGGGGTTCACCCGCATCCCCCCCAAGCCTCGGGGCTGTCCCGGAGCTCTGAAGCCCCCTCCCCGCCGAGGTGCGGCCTCCTCCGGGCCTGCCCTTAACGAGCCACCGGCCCCGGTCCCCCCTCGGTAATGGCGGCTCCCCTCAGCCCTCAGCGCCCCTCAGGTCATAAACCCCGCCCCTTCCCGCTTCTCCACCAATGGCAGCGCGGCCTGAGCGAAGCCCCGCCCCCTCAGCCAATGGCGCGCGAGGATGAGTCACCGTTACGCCTCTCGGCCCCGCCCCCCCGTGCTGATTGATGGAAGAAAGCGCCGGGGAACCAGCGCGCTATCAGCCAATAAGAACTCAAGCACCGCCCCTCCTTGCCGCTGCCACCAATCAGACCGCGCTCCTCCGCGGCCTCCACCAATCAGGCGCTCGCCGGGGGCGGAGCGTGTTGACGGCAGCGCGGCGGGGCGGCGGCGATGGCGGAGCTGCGAGCGGCGGCGGCGGCCGCGGGGCCCGGCCCGGCGGCTCTGCCCGGGCCCATGGCGCTGCCCGCGGCTCCCGGCGCGGCCCCGGCGCTGCCCTCCCCGGCAGCGAGCGGCGGAGCGGGGCCGGCACCGGCGGCGGCACCGGGGGGCGGCTCCGGTGCTGGCTCCGGTGGTGGCTCCGGGACGGGCGGCTCCGGTTCCGGTTCCGGTTCGGCCCGCGAGGGGTGGCTCTTCAAGTGGACCAACTACATCAAGGGCTACCAGCGCCGATGGTTCGTGCTCAGCAACGGGCTCCTCAGCTACTACCGGTACGTACCGGGGGGCCCCGCCGCTTGCCCCCCCCCCCCCCCCTTCTCCATGGGGCTCCGGTGTGACCTTGGGCCCGGGTCTATAGGGGGGTGTTGGTGCCCCCGAGGCCCCTCCGTGGCCGCGTTGTCCCTCCGGGCCCCGCGGTGCCACCCGAGCCCCATTGAGGGCGGGCTGCACCCTCGTTATGCAGCGGGGAACCGGAGCCGCGGGCTCCTGTTACAGGCGGGGACCCGGGGGGGGGACCCGGCGGCTCCGTGTCCCTCCCTCCGGCCCCGCTGACGTGGAAGGGGTGCGTCTGCCTGGCACGGCCTTGGCCCGGGCCCTCGCCCTGCTCCGTACCGGGATGTGGAGGCAGCAGGGGGATCCCTAAGGATGATCCCTAGGGGTGCTCACCAAGGGGGATCCCTAAGGATGATCCCTAAGGGTGCTCACCAAGGGGACCCCTGAGGGTGCTCACCACGGGGGTCCCTAAGGATGATTCCTAAGGGTGCTCACCAAGGGGGATCCCTAAGGATATCCCTAAGGGTGCTCACCAAGGGGACCCCTGAGGGTGCTCACCACGGGGGTCCCTAAGGATGATCCCTAAGGGTGCTCACCAAGGGGACCCCTGAGGGTGCTCACCACGGGGGTCCCTAAGGATGATTCCTAAGGGTGCTCACCAAGGGGATCCCTAAGGATGATCCCTAAGGGTGCTCACCAAGGGGATCCGTAAGGATGCTCCCTAAGGATGATTCCTAAGGGTGCTCACCAAGGGGATCCCTAAGGATGATCCCTAAGGGTGCTCACCAAGGGGACCCCTGAGGGTGCTCACCACGGGGGTCCCTAAGGATGATTCCTAAGGGTGCTCACCAAGGGGGATCCCTAAGGATATCCCTAAGGGTGCTCACCAAGGGGGTCCCTAAGGGTGCTCACCACGGGGGTCCCTAAGGATGATCCCTAAGGGTGCTCACCAAGGGGATCCATAAGGATGATCCCTAAGGGTGCTCACCAAGGGGACCACTAAGGATGCTCCCTAAGGATGCTCACCAGGGGGGTCCCTAAGGATGATCCCTAAGGATGCTCACCAAGGGGACCCCTTAGGATGCTCCGTAAGCATGCTCACCAAGGGGGTTCTTAAAGGTGATCCCTAAGGATGCTCCCTAAGGGTGCTCACCAAGGGGGTTCTTAAAGGTGATCCCTAAGGATGCTCCCTAAGGGTGCTCACCAAGGGGGTTCCTAAGGGTGCTCCTTAAGGATGCTCTCCAAGGATGCTCCCTAAGGATGCTCACCAAGGATCAGATCCCTAAGGCTGCTCCTGGGGGCTGCAACCCCCCCCTTATAACAGCCTTTATCCCATTCCCATCGGCGCTTCCCGTTTGGCTCTGCCTTTGGGGTTGGAATCCCCCATCCCGCCTGGGCTGTGTGGGTGCCATCCTGCCTCACGGTGCCCCGTGCCCGCTCCCCTCCGCAGCTCCAAGGCGGAGATGCGGCACACGTGCCGCGGCACCATCAACCTGGCCACGGCCAACATCACCGTGGAGGACTCGTGCAACTTCATCATCTCCAACGGCGGCGCTCAGACCTATCACCTCAAAGCCAGCTCCGAGGTGGAGCGGCAGCGCTGGGTCACTGCCCTCGAGCTGGCCAAGGCCAAAGCCGTCAAGATGCTGGAGGAGTCAGGTACGGCCCAAGGAAACCCCATAAGGGGACCCCGAGCGCCCCTTTCTGCACCCGGGCTCCTTGTGCCCATCCCCAGGGCACGATCCCACCTCTTCTCCCCATTCCCAAGCTCCCGTTGCTCGCTGCTGCCTGCAAACCCAACCTGCGCTTCCCTGCTCTGGCTCCCTAGCTCCGGTTTGGGATGCTGCGCAGGGATAACGGCACCGGGTACCCGCAGAGGGGTGGGGAAGGGGCTGTTGGGTCCATCCGCGTGGATCTTGGCAGCCTGCTCTGGCTTGAGGAGCTGCCAGCTCCGGGCACTGAGGTCCTCACTGCTGGCATTGCTGCTGTGCCGGGAGAGGGGCCATCTGCTGCGAGCTGCTGCCGCCTTCCCGATCTGGAATGCTGGGGACGGGAGCGCCCCGTGTGCAGCTCCAGCCCTTGGGAATGGGGGTCTGCTGCTGCATCCATAGAATCCCAGAGTGGGTTGGGTTGGAAGGGGGCTTAAAGCTCATCCAGCTCCAACCCCAACCACTTCCACCGGAGCAGCTCGCTCCAAGCCCCTGTGGCCTTGAACACTGCCAGGGATGGGGCAGCCACAGCTTCTCTGGGCACCCTGTGCCAGCGCCTCAGCACCCTCCCAGGGAAGAGCTTCTGCCTCAGAGCTCAGCTCAGTCTCCCCTCGGGCAGGTTCAAGCCATTCCCCTTGGCCTGTCCCTACATCCCTTGTCCCAAGCCCCTCTCCAGCTTTCCTGCAGCCCCTTCAGGCACTGGAGCTGCTCTCAGGTCTCCCCTTCAGGAGCCTTCTCTTCCCCAGGCTGCCCCAGCCCAGCTCTCCCAGCCTGGCTCCAGAGCAGAGCTGCTCCATCCCAAACTCCCCCATGCCCATTCCCTCCCCCCCCACACCCTTGACCCCCTTTATCCCCCCCCTTCCACCCCACAGATGACTCCGGGGACGAGGCGGTGCCGCAGACGGACAAGACGGAGCTGCAGAGCACGCTGCGCACGCTGGCCAGCAAGGTGGAGGACCTGAGCACCTGCAACGACCTCATCGCCAAGCACGGCACGGCCCTGCAGCGCTCGCTCAGCGAGCTCGAGAGCCTGCGCCTGCCCGCCGACAGCACCGAGAAGATCAAGCAAGTGAACGAACGCGCCACGCTCTTCCGCATCACCTCCAACGCCATGATCAACGTGAGTCCTGCAGCCCGCCCCGCACCAGGGCCTTGGAGAGCATCCGCTCCAGCCCCACGGCCACCGCGGACCCACGGCGCCAAGGGGGGCATCCCCTGAACGCCCGCGGGGATGGGGACTCTGGGCAGCCTGTTCTGATGCCTGAGCACCCTCTGGGGCAGGAATTGTTCCTCAGCTCCATCTAAACCTGCCCTGGTGCAGCTTGAGGCCGTTTCCTCTTGTCCCATCCCTTGTTCCTTGGGAGCAGAGCCCAGCCCCTCCTGGCTCCATCCTCCTCTCAGGCACTTGGAGGCAGCCATCAGGTCCCCCCTGAGCCTTCTCTTCTCCACACTGAACCCCCCAGCTCCCTCAGCCCTTCCCCATCACACTTGGGCTCCAGGCCCTGCTCCAGCTCCGTTCCCTTCTCTGGCCCCGCTCCAGCACCTCAAGGTCTCTCTTGCAGTGAGGGGCCCAGAGCTGAGCACAGGATTCGAGGTGCAGCCTCCCCAGTGCCCAGCACAGGGGCCCAGTCCCTGCCCTGCTCCTGCTGCCGCACTGGTGCTGGTGCAGCACCAGGATGCTGGGGGCTTCTTGGCTGCCTGGGCACAAGCTGCTCCTGCTCAGCTCCTTTTCCACGAGCAGCTTCCCAAGCCTGCAGCGTTCCACGGGGTTGCTGTGGCCCAAGCGCAGGACCCAGCACCGAGCCCTGCTGGAGCTCAGCCCATGGATCCAGCCTGGCCACATCCCTCTGCACCCCTCCTGTCCTTCAGGGAACACATCCCATGGCTCACACCATGGTGGGGTTCCAGGGCACCCCCAAAGCCCACGTCACCACGAGCTGCTCAGCCCCAGCCCATCCTCGAGCAGGATGGGGCCACCCAACACCCTCTGCTCCCACTTAAACCTGACTCTTACTGAAACCCCAACAGAAACCGAGTCCAAACCCCGCTGCCTCCAGGCACCGACATTCCCAAATCCCAACGGGAGCTCTGAGCGTGCCCTTGGGGCGCTGTTTTCCCTTCAGGCCTGCCGGGATTTCCTGCTGCTGGCCCAGACCCACAGCAAGAAGTGGCAGAAATCCCTGCAGCACGAGCGGGACCAGCGCATCCGCCTGGAGGAGACCCTGGAGCAGTTGGCCAAGCAGCACAACCACCTGGAGAGGGCTTTCCGGGGGGCCACCGTGCTCCCTGCCGGCGCCTCCGGCACCAGCGGCGCTGCCAAAGGTCCCGTTGGTGCCATGGGGGGGGTTGGATGAAGGGGGACTGAGCCGTGGTGGGGTGAGATGGGGTTCATGGTGCGGGATAGGGAGTGATGGGGATCTATGGGCTAACCGGGATGCAGCTGGAACTTGGATCTCATCTGCTCTCTTCCCCTCATCCCAGACCCCTGCTGCCCTGCCAAAGGAGACCTGAGCGATGAAGACGATGACAACGAGTTCTTCGATGCCCCGGAGATCATCCCCATGCCAGAGAGCATGGGCCACAAGTGAGTGCTGGTCTTTGGGGTGACACCACCCCCTACAAACACACACACACACACACACTGTGCCTGCATCCCGCTGGGGGCTGATTCCACCCCTCTCCTCCTCTTCCTCTCCAGGAGGACCGGCAGCAACATCAGTGGCACCAGCAGCGACATCAGCCTGGATGAGCAGGTAGTGGGGGTTCCCATGCCGTGTGCGTGGGTTGGGATGGGATGGGGGGGTACCCCAGTGGCTGCAGAGGGTTGGGGGGGTTACAGCAGCTCTGCTCACCTTTCCTCCCACCCCAGTACAAGCCCCAAGTGGAAGACACCAAGAAGGAGAAGAGAACCCGCATCCCTTACAAACCCAACTACAGCCTCAACCTCTGGAGCATCATGAAGAACTGCATCGGGAAGGAGTTATCCAAGATCCCCATGCCTGTGAGTGCGAGCGCAGGTGATGGGATGGGGATGGGGGGGAAGCTCAGACCCCCCCCCCCCCCCCCCAAAAAACCACCCCTCTTTGTTTTCCTCCCCTCCAGGTGAACTTCAACGAGCCCCTGTCCATGCTGCAGCGCTTGACCGAGGACCTGGAGTACCACGAGCTGCTGGACCGGGCGGCCCGGTGCGAGAGCTCCTTGGAGCAGCTCTGCTACGTGGCCGCCTTCACCGTCTCCTCCTATTCCACCACCGTCTTCCGCACCAGCAAACCCTTCAACCCGCTCCTGGGCGAGACCTTCGAGCTGGACCGCTTGGAGGAGAGCGGCTACCGCTCCCTCTGCGAGCAGGTAACCCCCTGCACCCCGCTCCTCCAGCCCCCGGGGCCCTGATGGCGATGGTTGGAACCCATTTATCCCCCTCCCCGCTGCCGGTCCAGGTGAGCCATCACCCCCCGGCCGCTGCCCATCACGCTGACTCCAAGCACGGGTGGACGCTGCGCCAGGAGATCAAGATCACCAGCAAGTTCCGAGGCAAATACCTCTCGGTGATGCCTTTGGGTGAGCGCCGGAGCCCTGGGGAAAGGGGGAACGTGGTGGGGTGGTTGGGTGATGGGGTTGGTTGAAGGACGGCTCCCAACGCGCCTCCCCGCCGCCTCAGGCACCATCCACTGCGTCTTCCACTCCACTGGCAACCACTACACGTGGAAGAAGGTGACCACCACCGTGCACAACATCATCGTGGGCAAGCTCTGGATCGACCAGGTGGGATGGAAACCCCCGCCCTGTACGTGTGAGGCGTGCAGGGAAGCACGGACCCATCCATCCCTCCGCGTCCCGGGCGATGGGGCTGGATCCGAGCCTCTCCTCCCTGCAGTCAGGTGAAATCGAGATCGTCAACCACAAGACGGGGGACAAATGCAACCTCAAGTTCGTTCCCTACAGCTACTTCTCGCGGGACGTGGCGAGGAAGGTGGGATAGGGCCCGAGGCGGGATGCACGCGATTCCCCGTGGATCCGGGAAGGAGAGGGGATGTGTTTCACCCTGTCCCTTGTCCCATCAGGTCACCGGGGAGGTGACGGACCCCGCCGGGAAGGTGCATTTCGTCCTGCTGGGCACTTGGGATGAGAAGATGGATTGCTACCGGGTGAGCCTGGGCCCTGGCGACAACGGCGCCGAGGGAAGGCAGAGAGCCCACGAGGCCGAGGAGAGCCGGGTGCTGCTGTGGAAGAGGAACCCGCTGCCGTGAGTTGGGAACGGGGAGGGATCGGGGTTGGATCGGGTTAGGGCCTGAGCACGGCGCTCTGCTCCCGTAGGAAGTACGCCGAGAACATGTACTACTTCTCGGAGCTGGCGCTGACCCTGAACGCGCCGGAGAGCGGCACGGCGCCCACCGACAGCCGCCGGCGCCCGGACCAGCGCCTCATGGAGAACGGGCGCTGGGATGAGGCCAACGCCGAGAAGCAGAGGCTGGAGGAGAAGCAGCGCCTGAGCCGCAAGAGACGCGAGGCCGAAGCTGCCAGAGCCACCGAGGATGGTGAGGAAAGAGGCACCGGTACCGGGGCAGGGATTGGGCCCCTGTGCTGGGCACTGGGGAGGCTGCACCTCGAATCCTGTGCTCAGCTCCCGGCCCCTCACTGCAAGAGAGACCTTGAGGTGCTGGAGCGGGGCCAGAGAAGGGAACGGAGCTGGAGCAGGGCCTGGAGCCCAAGTGTGATGGGGAAGGGCTGAGGGAGCTGGGGGGTTCAGTGTGGAGAAGAGAAGGCTCAGGGGGGACCTGATGGCTGCCTCCAAGTGCCTGAGAGGAGGATGGAGCCAGGAGGGGCTGGGCTCTGCTCCCAAGGAACAAGGGATGGGACAAGAGGAAACGGCCTCAAGCTGCCCCAGGGCAGGTTTAGATGGAGCTGAGGAACAATTCAGGCATCGGGCTGCGGGCACCGTCCCATTGCTCTCGGTGCCATGGGTGCCCTTGGCTGCATCCTGACCCATCGCTTCCCTGCGTGCCCCCAGGAACCCCCTACGACCCCTACAAGCCGCTGTGGTTCGAGCGCAGGAAGGACCCGGTCACGCAGGAGCTGGCGCACGTCTACAAGGGCGGGTACTGGGAGAGCAAAGAGAAGCAGGACTGGAGCCTCTGCCCGGACATTTTCTGAGCCAGGAGGAAGAGGAGGAGGAGGAGCAGAGGGCAGGGAAGCCCGGCCAAGAGCCCTGGCACCGACCGGCTCCCTCCATCCCATCCCTCCCTCCATCCATCGCCTGTTTTAACCACCCCGTCCTCCCCGCGCCTCGCCGGGGGGTGCCTTAGCCCCATCCACTGCCCTCGCTGCCATGGGGCGAACGGGAGCCGGCAGGACCCCACACACACACACACACACACACACCCCCCCACCAAACCATGGGGGTCTCCTTCCTCCCATAGCGCTATGGGGCTGGGGCCATGGGTCCTGTGAGCCCCCGGGGGGGCGCAGCGGGGCGAGCCCGAGGCTGGCCTTGGTCTCATCCCCCCCTCTTAATCATTTGGTTCCCATTCAGCCCCACACATTTGGGGTGCGGGGAGGGGGGGTGGGGGGCAGACGCCCCACAGCCTGTTCTATAGGTGTATATTATATATATGTAGAGCGCAACCGGGGTCCCCTTCTCCCCCTGCCCACATCACCCTTGGGTTTGGGGTGTTGTGTACCCCCCCCCCAGAAACACGGGGCTCCCCCTCCAGGTGCCTTCGCTGTAGGTTTAGGGCAAGGGGGGGGGGGTTGAGGTCCCAGGTTCTCCCCAGGGCGCAGCAGGACCCTGCACCCCCAAACACTACAGGGGCTGGGGGGGGGGGGGGGTCCCTGCACCCCAAACCTGACCCACGGGGGGGGTCCCTGCACCCCAGACCTGCAATGGGGGTGGATGATGCCTTTTTTTTTTTTTTTTTTTCCTTTTTTTCCCCTTTTTTTTTTTTTTTTTTTCCAGGAAAAACTAAATTAAAACCTGTGACTGCCCCAGCCCGGCTCCGCCTGCTCCATGGGGATTGGGGGAGGGCTGATTTTGGGGTACCCGCTGTTCTTTGGCAGCTCACGGATTCCCCCATCCCTTCGGTCCTCCTGCACACCCCCCCCCCAAAAAGGTAAAGGGAAGCACGCCCGAACAGGGACTTGAACCCTGGACCCTCAGATTAAAAGTCTGATGCTCTACCGGCTGAGCTATCCGGGCAGCCCTGTGGGCGCTTGGGGGGGCCCCGCAGTCCCCAGCCATCATCATCATCTTCCTCCTCCTCCTCCCCTTTACCTGGGTCCTGATGCCAGTGTTCAGGACCCTCTTTGCCCCCCCGAAAACGCCTCAGTTTGAGGGTCCCGGGGGCTGTTGTTGTGTCCCCCACAAGCAAAGGGAGCCGGGGGCTGCCAGAACCCCTTGGGGCTCATTCCCCCTCGTCCCCACCACGCTGGCCCCATACGGCTCCGTTCTGGGGTCCCTCTGTGCTGTGTTCCCCTTCCCCAGCGAGCAGCAGCGGCTGAGGCGGGACTCGAACCCGGGACCCTCGGGGCAGCCCCCGCGGCGGCTCCATGGTGTAGGGGTGATCACGTCTGCTTTACACGCAGAAGGTCCTGGGTTCGAGCCCCAGTGGAGCCACCCCTGCCCCAGGGTGGCTTTTTTGGGGTGGGGGGGGGGACACACATAACCTAATAGAGCCCTCCTCCCCGCGCGCTGATTGGCCAGTGGGTGCGGGAGGCGTGTGTTTATTGGCCAGCACCGTGCTCTTTGCTGATTGGTTTAGCCTATGCCCTCCTTCACGCTGATTGGCCAGGTGGTTTGAGCATACGTCACATTGAGCGGATATTCCACTCCGGTGCCCGTTCGTTAGTGGGTGCTTGATTGGCCGGCTCGTTTGGGGGTGCTGATTGGCTGGTTGGTTACAGCAATGGATCATCCAACCAATGGTGGAACACAGGTTGGCATTGACCTACCTGTACCCATTGACCTCTGCCTGTACCCATTGAGCTCTGCCTGCACCCATTGAGCTCTGCCTGTACCCCTCAAGCTCTGCCCGTACCCATTGAGCTCTGCCCGTACCCATTGACCTCTGCCTGCACCCATTGAGCTCTGCCCGCACCCACTGAGCTCTGCCCGTACCCACTGACCTCTACCTGTACCCATTGAGCCCTGCCCGTACCCATTGAGCTCTGCCTGTACCCACTGAGCTCTGCCTGTACCCATTGAGCTCTGCCTGTAGCCATTGAGCACTGCCTGTACCCATTGAGCTCTGCTTGTACCCATTGAGCGCTGCCTGTACCCCTTGAGCTCTGCCTGTAGCCTTTGAGCTCTGCCTGTACCCATTGAGCCCTGCCCGTACCCATTGACCTCTGCCTGTACCCATTGAGCCCTGCCCGTACCCACTGAGCTCTGCCTGTACCCATTGAGCTCTGCCTGTAGCCATTGAGCACTGCCTGTACCCATTGAGCTCTGCCTGTACCCATTGAGCGCTGCCTGTAGCCTTTGAGCTCTGCCTGTACCCCTCGAGCTCTACCTGTACCCATTGAGCTCTACCTGTGCCCCTTGACCTCCGCCTGTACCCATTGAGCTCTACCTGTACCCACTGAGCTCTACCTGTAGCCATTGAGCACTGCCTGTACACATTGAGCTCTACCTGTAGCCATTGAGCTCTACCTGTAGCCATTGACCTCTGCCTGTACCCATTGAGCTCTACCTGTAGCCATTGAGCACTGCCTGTACCCATTGAGCTCTGCCTGTACCCCTTGAACCCTGCCTGTACCCATTGACCTCTGCCTGTACCCCTTGAGCCCTGCCTCTACCCTGGCTCCTGCCTTCTCCTCCTGTCTCCCCCCCACCCCCATGGGTTCAAGCAGCCTCTCCCTATCCCCTATGGGACCCCAGGCACTGCCCCATGGCTCACGATGGGCTGGGGCTGGTGCCAATCCCACCCCATGGACCAACAGACACTCCCCCAGCTCCGATCCATGGGGTTTATTGGTCCCCAGCCCTGCCATCGCCCCCACCGGGGTCCCACCCCTGCCCCATTGCCCATTGCAGGCTCAGCTCCGGTTGTTCACTCTGACCCCTACTGATGGCAGCGAGCTGGGGCTGGGCAGGACCAGGGGCGGGTTGTGGGGAGGGAGGGGGGGTCCCGCCTTGTCCCCAGGCTTCATCACCGGGACGACAGCATCATAACGAACTCTGCAGGTGACAAAGGGGGTGTGAGGGGACCCCAGGGCTGAGCTGTGGCCATGGGGGGGGGGCTATGGGGGGGCTATGGGGGAGGGACCCCCCCTCACCATCGAAGTCCACGCGCCCGTCCCCATTGAGGTCCACGTCCTGCAGGATCTCGTCCACCTCGTGCGCCTTGAGCTGCTCGCCCAGCAGCGCCGCGATGGCCGCCCGCATCTCCCCACTGCTGATCTCCCCGTCCCCGTTCGCGTCGAACTGTGGGGCCCACGGGGTTGGGGGGACACCAACGGCACCCTCCAGGGGCGCCCCATGTGGTCAGCCCCATGGTCACCGGTCCCCTGTGGTCGTGGTGTCCCCATGGTCTTCCTATGGTCATTGTCCTGTCCATGACTGTCATCACCCCATGGTCATTGACCCCACCATGGTTGTGCCATGGTCATCGTCCCCTCCATGCCTGTGGTCACCATTTCCCCATGGGCTCCCCATGGTCATGGTCCCCCTCCATGCCTATGAGCACCCCCATGGTCATTGTACCCACCACAGTCACTGTCACCCCATGGTCTTCCCATGGTCACTGTCTTCTCCATCCCCATGATCAATGTCCCCACCATGGTCTTCCCATGGTCATCACATTCTCCCTGCCTGTGGTCACCTCCATGGTCACCATCACCCCATAGTCTTTCTATGGTCACTGTCCTGTCAATGCCTGTCAACACCCCCATGGTCATTGACCCCACCATGGTCTTGCCATGGTCATCTCCCCTCCATGCCTATGGTCACCATTTCCCCATGGGCTCCCCATGGTCATGTTCCCCCTTCATGCCTATGAGCACCCCCATGGTCATTGTACCCACCACAGTCACTGTCACCCCATGGTCTTCCCATGGTCATCATCGCCTCCATGCCTATGGTTACCCCCATGGTCACCATTCCCCCATGGTCATGGTCTCCCCATGGACATCCCATGGTCACTGTCTTCTCCATCCCCATGGTCATTGTCCTCACCAAGGTCTTGCCATGGTCATCATCCCCTCCATGCCTATGGTCACCATTTCCCCATGGTTTCCCCATGGCCATGGTCCCCCTCCATGCCTATGGTCATTGTACCCACCAGCGTCACTGTCACCCCATGGTCTTCCCATGGTCATCATCGCCTCCATGCCTATGGTTACCCCATGGTCACCATTCCCCCATGGTCATGGTCTCCCCATGGACTATTCCATGTCACTGTCTTCTCCATGGTCTCCCCATGTTCTTCATCCCCTCCATGCCTATGGTCACCATCACCCCATGGTCTTCCCATGGTCACCATGGTCATGGTCACCCCCATGGTCATGACCTCGCCATGATCCCCGCATGGCCGCTGTCCCCCCACATCCCACTATCCCCTCCCCATATCCCAGTGCCCCACATCCACACCTCTCGGAAGGCGATCCGGAGCTCCCGCACGCCCACCATGTGAGCCGTCTCCTCCCGCAGCTTCGGGCCCATCATCTGCACGAAGTCCTCAAAGTCCACTCGCCCGCCCACTGCAGTGGGGCAGGGATAACCTCAGCGCCCCATAGCCCCCCCCATAGCCCCCCCATAGCCTGCCCCACGCTCACTCCTCATCTTGATGTGCTGGGAGATCTCGATGAGCTCCATCTCGGTGGGCATGTACCCCAGCGTGCGCATGCAGGCGCCCAGGTCCTTGTAGCTGATGAACCCATCCTGGTCCGTGTCGAACTCCTTGAAGGCGTCCAGCAGCTCTGGGGCACGGGGACACCCATCAGGGGTGGAGGGCGATGGATCGCCCCCAGTGGGGTGCCCCTGGGCCCACGTCACCCCGGAGTAGGCTCCTCGCTTGATGGGGTGATGGGGTGGTGGCCCCAAGGCACTGAACCCAATGGAGACCCTTCCATGGCTCCCATCCCTATGGCACTGAACCCAATGGAGACCCTTCCATGGCTCCCATCCCTATGGCTCTGAACCCATTGGAGACCCTTCCATGGCTCCCATCCCTATGGCTCT